AGAAATGTTTCATGAGAAAATTCACAAAAAGAGGCCAGGCTGTCAATGAAAACTCTTCTGCATCTCAGCGACATGAAGAAACACTATATCTTCCCCTCCTGGGTCCGGCTAGCTCTCCCCACACTCTCTCCCCAGCACACAACTGGACAGCCCTATTTGTTCTTGTTAGTACGTTCTAATTTGTTAGAGATGAGTTATTCCCCGTATGATCTCTGTGGTCTCAGGAGATTGAGCATTTAACCAGAAGACCTTTTCCAAGATGAGCTGGAGAAATGGAAGTGTCCTATGGGGCATTTGGGAGGACTCAGCAAGGAGACGGCTGAGAGGACCAGGGATGGGTCTGATCAGGAGGGGATTAGGGTTCACAGGAACTAAACAGCAGATGCTGGATCTCCCAGGCCATGTATCTGGGCTGTTTCCCAGCCCATTTCTCTTCTATGCTTCCACCCCAAGGCCCAGCACCCCAGCGCTCTGACTCCCAGAAATCCTTACACGAAGACAGATTCTGTCGCCCACAGCTAGGTGTAAATGACTACTAGGGCGCTAACTAGTTACTTCCGAAGGTTTGTGGACCTTCACAGAGTTTCGGCCATAAATCAGAAAGTCAAATCAATAATCGGTGGACCTTAGGGATCTGGTTGATTGGGAAAAAGGGCATTGGTGGAACCTGGCACCTTTGCCAGGTCGTGGAAATTCAAGGGCCAAGACGTCTGTAGGGAAGGCTGCAGGTTCGATTTTGGGTTTTGTTTTCTAATTTCAGTAACATCCAGAGTGAGTTACTGCCCTTCGAAGAAAAGCCATTCATTCCCCATCCAATTTAGTGCCTGCATGGTGACGCTGCATGCGTCAGTCTCATTACAAACAGAGCGATGCTGCAGTCACCTGGCAGTGTCCTTAACTGACCCTGCTCCAGTCCTGCCAGGCCCTGGGCGGTTCCACCAGCATAGAGGCTGTGTGGAGACCAGTTCTCCTGGTGATGCAGGGTCATTGCTGCAGTGTGATTGTTTCCCCTTAAAATACAGCCTTGGAGGAGTTTGCTCAGCTTATAGGAAGCTGGAAGGTGGCCTCTCTAGGGCTGGGTGACCTCACTACAGCTTCTCCTGGGCTGCGTCTTTCTCCAGGACGAATGGGGCCAGACCAGCAGGAAGTGGCTCATGCCCCAGGGAGGAGTGGAATTGGGACTAGACCAGGGTTCTCTGAAACCACTGCTTCAGGGAGCGTGGTTTAGATCCTAGAGGGCCCGGGATGGGGGTGGGGCAGTCTGTCTGGTCCCCTCTCATCACTACACAATTCTTTTTTTATCTTGCTAACAGTCGTCTGCTCCCAATGCCAGCTTAAATCCTTCTTCTCTTCCTCTACCTCCGTGGTTTTCAAACCTTAGTTCGCTTCAGAATCAGAGAGCTCCTTGAAACACAGATGCTGGACCCCACCCCCAGTTTCCGGTTCAGCGGGTCTTGGGCGGGGCCCGAGAATTTGTATTTCTCATTTGTTCCCAGGTGATGCCGCTGCTCTGGCCCAAGGATACCTTGAGAACCTGGGTTCCACAGGGTGGGGTGTGAACATGCAGCGGGTCCTCCGGAGTCAGCCCTGCTTCCCTCTCCAGCTCTGACCTGGGGCGTCCGAGGTGCTCGCTCACTCAGGCTGTCCCGTGGCTGTGGGATTTCATGCTGGTCCCTGGATCTGGGTCACCCTTCCTAACTTCCGACGTCTGGCTGCCTGCTCTTGGTATGTAAGAACATCCTTTGAAATGTACGTCTCAGAAATAACTACATTTCCTTGTCGATTGCATTATTATGAACTTTCATCAAATCTTTAACCGTGGTCATTTTTAAGTCTTTTGTCATTTACAGACAGTTCTGGGTGTACTCTGATGCTTTCGCAAAAATGTTCCTATTAAAGGGTTTCATCTTCAAGGAATTCATGGAAAAGACTCTGACAAGTACAGGTTTCTGGTAACTGACTGTACTGCTGAACTGAATGAATAAGCATTTTCAGAACTCTAATGGAAAACTGATGAATTCATAAAAGTGCTAACAAAAGATCAAGATGAAAAAAAATTAATTACATGGGACTGAGTGAACTGAGGATGATTATAATTTTTGTGACTTTCTGTTCGAATATAAAAAACAAAAAATCCTCCCCCCCCAAAAAAAAAACAACTTCCTTTGGTTGCTTTCACTGAATCCTAGCCCTCGGCCATGTTATTTCTGCCCCGTAGGCGGGGTGACTGGCTTCCCTCAGCAGGTGAACTGAGTCAGCCTGGGGTGGAATTAAGAAACACATAGGGAAGCACTGCCTGCTTCCCTAGAAAGTTCTCCACTTGGCCTCAGCAACGTGTGGCAGGGCTCCCAGAATCACACGTACCACCTGACTTAGGGTGGAGAACTGGCAGAGCAAGGTATCCCCCCTCTCCCAACCCCAAACTTCTGTCCCCCCAGTCCTGACGGCTCATAGACAGCCTCCAGCTCAGCAGAGGGAACATCCCAGCAGCTTCCAAGACCAGGAGATCCTCACGGGCAGGGCCACGACTCATCCATCCTCCCTTCCCCATTCCTGGCACCGGGGGTGGCGCGCCACGGGCGCTGAGCAAGGGTTTGCCGAATTACATTGAACATAGCTGCAAACACGGAATCCCATCTGTTCACTGATGGCATACAGGGGGTGTCTGATTGCTTTCTGGGGTGCTGCTGGAGGTGACATCTTCTGTCTCTTTTCGCCTCCCTGGGATAGTCACGTTTGGCTTCTAACCCACTTCTTACCAAGTCAACTAACTCTTCTTTCTGGTCGCTGCCCAAAGGAAAACTAGGGCAAGGTCTATAAAGCAGGTACAGAATAAATGTATAAAGTAAAGCAAATAAAGGCAGGGAGATGAAGGTGCCGGGGTAGCCTTCAAAACTTGCATTACTCATTTCCTTTGCCTACAGCTGGACAACGGAAAGTGGTTCCATGAAAATTCAATTGTGCCCAGGGCTTTGGCTTGACAGCCTCGATAAATGTCTGATGCAGCTAGAGAATGGTGTAGCACCCGTAGCCTGTCAGAGTACATGGCAGGAGGCTTTGGGGACCCCCCAGAGGCCTCAGAACGATCTTCCCTGAAAAGCATCTACTTCGCACTGGTAAATTTTTTGAGGATTAGACCAGCTCTCTCACTTTTTTGTAAAACTGATTTGGTTAATTTAAATGAGAGGACAGTTAAGGAAAAGTCCTCCTTTGGCTAAAATTGAATCATACAGCCAAGAAGAATGCTAATTTTGAAGTGTGCCGGGGCAGCCTTTCTACTGATTATGCTGTATTGATTCAAACGGTCACAAGACTTTTAGATCATTTTTAGAGTGATGGCATGAGCAGGGCTGAATGGAAATCAGTCTGAAATAATGAACATTCCTGCTTAGAAATCATTATGGGCTGAGTCGCTGGGGGAAGGCCCTGGGCCTGGGAGTTAGCCCTTAGCTCAATGGGGTTTGTACTCCGCGGTCAGCAGGTTCCTGGACCCAAGCCTTTCAGTTCTTGAGGAATGCTTGCCTGCGTTTGAGGCAACTCAACGAGCAATAAGTATTGTTTGGTTTTGGGTTTGGTTTTCCCCCGGAACATGGATTTTAAAAACAGCTTAATTAAGGACTGTGGTGTTATTTGCTGTTTATTTTGCAGGCAACGACCACTGGGTAGCTGCTGGGAGGGCGTAAGATAGGAACCTGCTTTCCCTTGGCAGCCGGAAGGCTGCTTTCCCCACACACATGGTTGAGGTGTGCAAACCACGGCCCCTGGGCAAAATCTGGCCGGCTGCTAGGTTTTGAAAGGCCAGTGGGCTCAGAAGGGTTTCTCCATTTTTAAATGCTTGAAAATAAAAATCAAAAGAGTCATAAAATTTTGTGACATGTGATGACAATATGAATTCAAATTGCCTGCTCCTTCTTAGTGTAAAGTTTTTTGGGAAATATAGCCGTATCCATTCATTTAAGCATATGCTACCGTAGCAGGGTCAAATACCTGCAGCAGAGACCGCACGGCCTGCAAAGCCCGAAACACTTACTAACTGGATCTTTACAGGTGAAGTTTGCCAGTCCCTGTTGTATAGGAACAGAGGACATTGCTCCCCTTCAGGAGCCCAACTCCATGCAGGGTCCGGGTCCACCAGGCACAGCCCTTGCTACAAGCAGAGGTGGGTGGGCTAAGCCCTGCTTGATAGCATGGCTGTGTACGTTCAAGAAAGAGGTGGTGAAAGCAGAACGCACGTTTTTGGTAGCTAGATTTGATTAAACCTACTAGAATGTACCTTTCTCGTTCTTTAAGACTGATGACCAACTAGCTGATTGCTTTACTCCACTAGGGCAACTCATTCTGTACTGGCTTCTTCACCTCAACCTCTTCTTTCACTTCCTCCCTGTCACCCGAGTCGTGTGAGAGGTTTCCGCCTATGTATTTGCAACCTCCAGAGAGCACGATCTGGTCATCCACTTGGCAAGACAAGCACTGGTCTGGCCTGTGGCCAAACTGGTCAGCTGTTCCCCCCGGTACGAGTGTACATGTACTGCCGCTGCTGTCTGGGTGAAAAGCCACAGGGGATCTGGCCATCTGGGAGTTTTGGTTCCCAGATGCCAGCAGATGGAGCCTGGACAACGCTGGCCTTATGAATGGCATTTTCCACCCGCGGTTAGAATCCCTGCGAGAGGGCAGATCACATTACTCACCACTCACCTGGATACTCCCCGAAGCTTCTGCTACTTTTATATAGTCTCCCCTTCTTATTCTCACCCATGGCGCTGAGCAGGGTGCTGGGAACACGATAAATGCCCACTGACCCAGCAGCATCACTTCAAGTACCTTGTCCTTGGGGCTGGCACGCAGGGTGACCTTCCACGGCAGGAGCTGATGGAAAGGGCTCAGTGGGAAACAAGGGGACTTGACCCCATTGTTTCTCTACATATGACAAGCTCCACTTTCACCTGTTCCCTCCCGCCCCCCAGCCCTGAAAAACCCACGAAATGGTTTCACATGCCCCAAGCAGCTCACCGAGCCGTGAATAAGTGATGTAGCCATAGAAGGCAGTTGGAGGGCACCAGACCACCTTCCCCACCACAGCCAAAACAAAAGCCCTAGCAGGAGAAAGCACTCTCATGAACACCGGACTTAAATGTTTTAAATCAAAATCCAATTCAAAAAGAATTGGCTTTAAACCTATAAATACGGTACTCATTTTACTGCCTTAATTTTGGAAGAATTCTGTTAGCTCCTAAATGCCTGGCTAAAAAGTCTCTTTTTATTTAACTAAGGGGTCTGTGAGGACTAAAAATCCAAGATTTTCTCCTTCTACACGTGCAGACCCTGCCTGATAGAAAAGGGCTATTTGACTGGGAAAATTCACAGAGGTGTCTATTTCCATTCAATGAATATAAAACCCCAAACTTCTGCCAGCGTCTTTTCTAAGGAGGGGAAAATCAGAGCCTGTGACTTCTCCTCTCCCTCCCTCTGCATTTGTCTCTTGTATGATTTCTATGCCTGCCTGTTTCTCCTCTGCAACTATCAAGTCCTCTGAGGGAGGAGCTTCTTCCGCTTTCTCCCTTTCCCACAGCTGCTGGTAGAGCGCTTGGCACGTAGTAGGTCCTCAGCAATGCCTGTTAGCTGCGTGAATACGAATAGGTAGAATCAGGGTGGTAGGCACTGGGCCAAAAGTGGGGAGTCCCATCTTGTCTATGCCTCAGAATGACTCTGAGCAAGATGCTGAATCTCTGAACCTCAGTTTACTCATCATGAAAATGGGTCTAACAACAGGCGTTCCCCATTCCCTCATGGGATTATTGTGAGGCTCAAAGGAGGAAACAGATGCAAAAAACACTTTAGGCGAAGGAAAAGGCTGCCTAAGGTGGTTTCTTCAAATCAGAAGTTTGCAAAGACCTGTCACAGATCCTCACTGGGTGGAGGTCAGACTAAAAGACATTGATGGTGGTCCCCCTTCATAAGCTCTCTCTGAGTAGGAGAGTAGCTGTGTCTCTCTGACACAGGGAGTAGGATGAACAGATTCCGACCTTTCTTTTGAACCTGAATACCCTGTGCCTAGGGGCCAGCTCTGTGCCCGTGCCAGTACGGGATGGGCTGGGAATTGGGGTGGGGGAGAGAGGGGACAGATCATACATACTGAGGACAAAAAAAGCCCAAGACATTTGAAACAAAGACGTTCTTAGAGCCTCATGGAAGTCCTCTAACAGCCCTAGCTCTTGCCTGCTATACTCTCCGCCAGAAAAGATCACAGACCAGTTACTATAGCAACAGTTCTCCTCCAAAAGTGTCCATGTTGAGATGGAGACGGAAAAGGTTTCCTTATTAAAACAAAGAAGGAAAGGGTTTTTGGATATATTTGCCCTCCACCCAAAGCATTGCTCCTTTCCTGAGAAGAAAGAAGCTGTTATTATGGCAAAGATGCTTCTAATTTCTAGCAGTTAAATCTCCAAACTCTTATTTCAGACTCGGCGCAGTTCATGCTTGTTCCAAAACATCCAAGAGGAGTGTTTCTTCTCAAGAGGCAAAACTGTGAACTAGGGGATGAGGGACCCTAAGACTGGACAGAGAGAGCCTTGTCAACCTCGGGGCCGCCCTCTGGCCCAGGAGAGCCCAGCCACCCCTGTCACCCAGCTCTGCGTCCACCGTGAAGCCCTTCCTTCTGATCCCTGGCTGTGGGCTTGTCACAGCGGTCACCCAGGGCAGCGGCTACGTGTCATGCTTCCTGGCCCTCATGGTGTCGTGTGGTGGGAGCCCCCAGCAGGGCAGCACCGCGGGTCTCGGCAGCTGCCGGGAAGGCAGGTTCTCAGAGAACTTTGGCTGGAACCAGGCCCTGCGGTGGCCAAGGGCCTGCTCTTGGCTTCGGACTTTTCATATGAGCTTCTGTGGCCTCAAAAAGGACAAAGGGAAAAGCTCTCCAAAATGGAAGAGCACGTGTGTGTGGCGGGGGGAGGGGAGCAGTGGGGACAGCCTAGGCAAACCCTTCCCTGCAAACTTAATTCGGTATGGACGTTCCTTTGAAGGGCTGAGGACTTAGACCTCGGGTGTGTGGAGTCTGACCATCCTGCTTGTAGGAAGCAGCCTGGAGAGTCAGGTGCGAAGAGCCTGATGGTCGGTGTGGAGACACCACGGAGTCAGTGCCCGCACGGGGGGTTGGAACCTCAGGGCCCTGAGAACGTGGAGCCCAGGTAGGGGAGCGACACGAAGGCTGACCTTCTCCCCCGCAGGGAAGAGCAAACACGGTACCCACGGATCCAGGCTGCTGGGTGAGCCCAGTGCAAGAGAAGTGGGGGCCACAGGACAAAGTCCCCCCTGAAGTCCCCAGTGAGGATGACGCTGGGCTTCTGGGAACCACCCCAGGGCTGGGACGCGGGGAGTACCCAAAGCATAAAGGGTGGGCTCCAGGATGCTGGGGAAGGCCTGCCGGGACCTGTCATAGAAGTCAGAGGCGACGTGATAGGCTGGGGCGTACATCGGGGTGGGGCTTCCAAAAGAGACACGTGGGCGGGCGCAGAAGGCGGGCACTAGTAGGGGAGGGTGGAGTCATCCCACTCCAGCTGCGCTTGCGCGGCTCCGCCCTGCCCGTGTCCGCCCCTGCCCACCCCATACTCCTCGTCACTGCCCTCGGAGTCGCTGCTGCTCGAGCTTAGGTCTTCCTCTTCTTCTTCCTCGGTCTCATCTTCCCCACGCCCTGGGGCTCCGTGTTTCTGGATGGCAGGGAGAGAAGGGAAACGCTCATCAGGGATCAACCAGGAGCCACGCTGGAGTTTAAGTTTCTCCCTCCATTAGGGAGACGTTTAGGGCTCCTTGTAACTCCTTCCCTTGATGCTAAACCCTTGGGCTGGGAGATGGGCTTCCTGGAAGGGAAGTCCTTTGGTGAAAGACCAATCGGAGGGCAGAGGACAAAGACAAGAAATGGCAAATTCCAGGACCCAAACTCAAGGTAAATCGTTGCGTTTTAAACATTGGACATTGAGGCCGATCCCATCCATCATTCAGGGAGGCTTTCGGGCCAAAGTTTCTTTTCTGGCATTTCTGAAACCTGTCTACATAGGTGTCCAAGTCTTTAATGACTTGCTTCTCAATGTGAGGATAGCATTTAAACTTGTACCCCTCTTCCAGGTGGGAAAATAATGTCTCTGGGAGCAGAAGGTCTTCTAAGCCGAGACTCGGCTGTGCCGCCCCTCAAAAATACTGCTTTCAGAAGGACAAAGTTCACGGTCCTCATTTTCCACGCCTGTCCCTCACCCGCAGAGTTTGTGTCCTCAAACTCTACCCCACGCTTTTCCAGTGCCCTCCCCCTCCCCCCAGCTTTTTGGCAATTCCAGTCAAATCTTATTTCTGGATTTATGTTTTGAGTTCATAAACCAGCCATAAGAGATGTGAGCCCGTGCTTGGCTACATCCCATCTCTGGAGTGTTTTCTCTTCTACCTTTGCCTCCCCCAGATCCTACTCATTCTTCAAGGCCTGGCTGAGGCTCCAAGAAGTCTTCCCTGGACAGCCCCAAAGGCTCTCCCTGCTCATGCTTCACTGATTTGCAGGCATCCCCGGGTTAGCCCTTGGTGAGCACGCTCTGGCCGGGTACTCAGAGCGCTCCAGGCGTAATGATCTTGCCTCCTAGGCCCAAGGCTCAGCTCTCTGAAGGTGGAAATGCTGGGGTCCCCAGAGTGGTGCGCTCAGCCCCATACCTACAGCACACGCTGGGACGAGCTGACCGGCATTGGCACGCTGGCTCTGAAGTTGGAGCAGGAGGCCGGGTGAGGCGGGGAGACTGGGGACCGGCTGGGATACTTTTCATTCCTCAGTGGCTCCTCCTCATGGCCACTGACTCCCTTGCTTTCTTACTCCTGCCTTTCCCCCCACCCAGCAGCCATGGGCAGACCAAAGGGCCCGACGGAAGCGGCTTTTCTTGAGTGTCCTATGTCCAGATCAGGGACATTTGGACACTCATGGGTGGATTCTGGGGGCTGATGGCCAACTGGAGAGATAACTTTAGAATCAGACAGGCGTGGGTTTGAATACCGGTGGTGCCGTTACCAGCTCTGGGCGTTTGAGTACGTTACTTTCCCTCTCTGAGTTGGTCCTACCTTGGTAAATGAGGAGGGTGACTCCCACTTCACAGGTTGCTGGGAAGATTAAATGAGGTGGTGCGTGTTGAGGACCCCGTGCAGTGCTGGCGTGACGGGGGCTCAATAAGTGGCAGGTATTACCATTGGGTTTTTGTATTAATGTATTCTGAGACTTTAAGTGAGCTCTGCAGGCAGATGGAGCAAAACCATCTAATTTATACTGGTAGCTAATCAAAAATTCAATACGGAGTCCCTGAGCGTGAGTCAGCTCTGAGCTAAATACTACAGGGGAGGCCAGGGGCAGACACTACGTGGCTGCTTGCCGTAAGAAATGTCTGCTTTTGTTTGTTGGGTGAGAGCAATTCACACGTTTTTAAGCAGTGAAGGCATTTGGTGGGTAGGTGTGGCTCACGCAGGTTGAGAGGCTGGAGGAGCCCAGAGAAGGGAAGGACCAGTGGGGCTGGGCTAGCTGGGCAGGGCTTCCGGCACAGGAAGGATGGAGCTGGGTGGAGGAGAGGCATCCCGCTCTGAACTCCCAGGCCCCGCGTGACGATTGTTACCTCCATGGGGTTGACCGTGATAGTAAGTGCCGAGTCGTCCCAATCCATCTCGGCTTCCTTGGCAGCCTCAGACTCCTGGGTGAAGTGCTGGTGGGCGATGCGGACCCGGTACATGCCCATGGCCACGACAAACACTAGCATGCACACGGAGATGATGATGACCACTGTGGCGATGCTCGGGACCACTGGAGTGAGGAAGGAATTCGCAGGACGAGGTGAGCGAGGGACTAGCTCACCCTTGGGATGGAACACGATTGAAACATCCACGTGTAGGTTAAAATCTGCCCTACACTGCCCAGTTGGAGAGCTCTGGGTCAGAACCTTACTCTGTCTGGGCTTCACTTTTTTCATCTGTATAGTAGACGTCATCATTCCTATCCCAGGGGTAGTTGTGAGGAGCAAATGAAATCATCTATGTGAATTTCCACAGAGGCACATAGTAGGTGCTCAATAAGTGCACATTCTCTGATCTCTTGCTTTTTCCATCAAAGCATAGGGCAGCCCCCTTCCCCTCCCCCTGAGAGCTAGAAACTGTGGAGTTCAGTCGGGACAGACAGAAGTGCCCGCCAGATAGGAAGACAATATGGAAGGTACTGGAACAGAAATAAGGGTGGGAGACTTTGCAATATGGTGCATACGTGTGTGTGAGCATGTGCGAGGGGCTCAGGGGAGGCTACATACAGCATGTAGCTTTGAGTTGGGTCTACAAGGACTTGCAAAATTTTACCCCAGCCCTTTGTAACGTCTATTACACATTTCTTATAACTTCTTGTGTACTTGACCTGCGCCCTCCTGAGGCCGTGAGTGCCTCAGAGCCAGGCACATAGCTTCTCCACAGCCGGGCACCTCCTTCAGTTCTGGGCGCCTCTGGCGCTGCTGCACCCTAACTGTTGCGTGGACGGTCTTGAGTCACCATCAGCACCTGGTGTCCTGAGGTCCCTCCTCCCATGTGACCTACCTGAACTGCGCTGGATGCTAGTCTGGGATTCCGGGTGGTGGACAGACTGGAGGAAGGGCGGCTGCACGATGAGGTGGTTGACGTGCTCCTTGTCTGAGACCCTGACCTCATGGAGGACGCTGACCTGAGAAGAGCAGGGAGGGGTGCAGTGGGCCGGGAGTGGCAGGCGGACCAGTGGCCGCAGTTCTCCCGAATAAGCGAAATGAATGAATGGGCGGTCCGGGGCGTCCCTCACAACTGCGGGACTCACTCACCTCCAAGTTGAACTCATTGCTGGTGTAGCGCCCATTGAGTTCCGAGCACTTGAGCCTGAACCGCCGGGCCTCCAGGGCAGCTGGACGCCAGTTGCGGTAGCGGATGTGACGTAGCACCTGCTCATAGCGGCTCATGGAGCCCACACCTGTGTCAAGAGACCACACCTGTCATAAGAAGGCAGAAGAGGGGCTGGGGAGACGGGCTGCAGCTGCTGGCGATGTGGGTCTCCTGAAGTCGGTGAGGGTAAGAGCTCAGGGTGTTTAGGGGCAGACAGTGTGCCAGTGCAGACATTCTAAGGAGCCAATTAAACTGAAGCACAGAATTTCCACATAGATTGGGCTCTGACCAGAATGTTTGGCCTCAATCTGCCAAATGTTGCTGTAATACTTGCTGAGATCAAACATGATAAGAGCAGGCACCCGCCTAGTTTCTACAGATTTCCCCAGGAGTGGAATGGGAGCCAATTCCCCCGGATACTGGAATAGCTCATCAAAGGAGGGGCTAGAAGTCCACGCTCTGAGGTCAAAGGTTCCCTCCTGACCCGCCTCCACAGGAGATGGAGCTGCCATCCCACTCATGACTCCCTGGACAGGGCCACTGAGAAGGGACCACCAGGTGCAGGACTGAGCACGGCCTTACCGTAGATGGAGTAGCCGGCCGTGGAGTTGGTGGCGTCCAGGTGTCGCTGGTGGAGCTCACTGTGGTTGAGCTCCAAGCACTCCTGTTTGGGGTCCAAGTCCCCTCCCAGCACTAAAATGTCACAGAAATCTAAGTTGTGAAGCATTTCTTCAAAAACTGCTGATTTGGGGGCTGTGGGAGGACAGACACATGGAAAACACAGGAGTGAGGACAGCTCCGGTCATGGCCCTGACACACCGTCCTCCTCCTCCGTCTCTGAACCCCAGGCTCAGGCTGGGTCAGGAGGAGAGGTTGGGCGATCCCAAATATCACCTCCACTGCTCAGATGATGTCCAGGCAGCCCCTGAGGCTGGGCGGCACGAATTTATGTGAAGAGCATGAACACAACAGTCAAAAGATGTGAATTTAGGCCTTCCCTGGTGGCGCAGTGGTTGGGAGTCCGCCTGCCGATGCAGGGGACACGGGCTCGTGCCCTGGTCCAGGAGGATCCCACGTGCCGCGGAGCGGCTGGGCCCGTGAGCCACGGCCGCTGAGCCTGCGCGTCCGGAGCCTGTGCTCCGCAACGGGAGAGGCCACAGCAGTGAGAGGCCCCCGTACCCCAAAAAAAAAAAAAAAACCCAAAAAAGATGTGAATTTGAATAGCAGCGCTGCTTCTGAGAAGCCGTATAGTATTAGAGAAACCACCTACCGCTCAATGTCCTTATGTATAAAGAGGGTAAGGGCATTGAGAGGATTGAAAACAATGTGTGCACAGAATAAATGCTCGAGAAGGATTGGTCTCCTTTGGGACCAGAGATGAGCGCCCCTCCACCAGCCTCTCATAGCTCTCCCCGTGTGGCCATGGTGTGTGTCTGTCTCTCCCAGCAGACTCTGAGCTTCTCAAGGGCAGAAGCACTTTGCGTGACTAACTCTTCAGTATCTGAGGGGCTGGCATGGAGCAGTATGACGACACATTGCTGAAGTGGAGCTGCACTGGTGATATAATTAAATAAGTAAATTGGTTAGTCTAGTTGACGAGCTGCTGCATCCCTTGGCAAAGTTCCTGGGGGAAGGGTAGGCTGAGGCACTCCATCTTCTTCTCCAGGGTGGGCAAGGTGTGGAAGTAAGTGGTGGGCTCGGGCTCCCGGACTTTTTGCCTTTGTGGCACCAACCCTACCATTTGCAGAGGACACCCCTCCCCTTGCCAGTTTATGGAAGGCTGGTCCTAGGGCTGGAGACTAGCCAGTCTGGTCTCTCTTCTTCACTGCAGTGTGACGCTGACCTGGAGGTGCCGGCTCCCTACCCCCAGCCTCCAGGGGTGGCCTTTAGTGTGGAGGTGGGAGCACTTTCTCCATCACTAGAACTGTTGAATGCAATTGCCGTCTGTGGACTTTATCCTGGCATCTGTCCCAGGCCCTGGCAACATGGCAGTCAGCAGACCCATCTTTCCAACCCTYGTTCCTGTCTTTCTGGTTCCTTTTTCTGGCTCCAGGTGCCAGGTGACTCCCTTTCTGCTTCTCAGGAGTTTTTCTGGGGTCCCCTTCCTAGCTGCCCTCCCAAGCAGCTGTTTGGCTGAGAAATGATTTGATAGGCCAGTAAGGGTGTTATTTAAAGGTCACAGTGATGGTCTCATCTCCTTAATTTAACTCAGATCCCTGGGGACAAGAACCATGCCTTTTCTTTCTCTTGCATACTCATGGTATTTAGGAGCTCTGTCAAGGCTAGGTTGGTTAATTTAATTGAATTAATAAACATTTGTTGAGCATGATACTATACACAGAAAAACCCTAAAGATGCTACCCAAATCTATTAGAACTAATAAATGAATTCAGTAAGTTGCAGGATACAAAATTAATATACAGAAATCTGTTGTGTTTCTGTACACTGACAGCAACCTATCAGAAAAAGAAATTAAAAAACAATCCCATTTACAATTGCATCAAAAAGAATAAAATACCTAGGGATAAATCGAGCCAAGGAGGTAGAAGACCTCTACTCAGAAAACTACAAGACATTGATGAAAGAAATTAAAGACATTACAAACAAATGGAAAGATATACCATGCTCATGGATTGGAAGAAATAATATTATTAATATGACCGTACGACCCAAGGCAATCTACAGATTCAATTCAATCTCTATCAAAATGCCAATGGTATTTTTCACCAAACTAGAACAAATAATTCTAAAATTTGTTTAAATCCATAAAAGAGCTCAAGTAGCCAAAACAATCTTGAGAAAGAAGAACAAAGCTGAAGGTATCACACTCCTGACTTCAGACTATGCTACGAACCTAGAGTAATCCAAACAGTATGGTATTGGCACAAAAACAGACACATAAATCAATGGAACAGAATAGAGAGCTCAGAACTGAACCCATGCATATATGGTCAATTAATCAATGATAAAGGAGGCAAGAATATAAAATGAAGAAAAGACAGCTTCTTCAATAACTGGTGTTGGGAAAACTGGACATCTATGTGCAAAAGAATAAAACTGGACTACTTTCTCACACCATACACAAAAGTAAACTCAAAATGAGTAAGACCTGAAACCATAAAACTCCTAGAAGAAAGCATAGGCAGTATGCTCTTTGACATTGGTCTTAGCAATATTTTTTTGGATGTGTCTGCTCAGGCAACAGAGACAAAAGCAAAAATAAACCCATGGGACTACATCCAACTAAAAAGCTTTTGCACGGTGAAGGAAACTATCAACAATATAAAAAGCCAGCCTGATGAATAGGAGAAGATATTTGCAAATAATCTTATATAGTAAGGGGTTAATATCCAAAATATACAAAGAATTTATACAACTCAACAGCAAAAAACAGGTAACCCAATTAAAAGATGGGCAGAGGACCTGAATAGACATTTTTGCAAAGAAGACATACTGATGGCCAACAGACACATGAAAAGATGTTCAACATCACTAATCATCAGGGAAATGTGAATCAAAACCACAATGAGGTACCACCTCACCCCTGTCAGAATGGCTAATATCAAAAATAAATAAAAAGTGTTGGCGAGCATGTAGAGAAAAGGAAACCTCTAAACACTATTGGTGGGAATGTAAATTCGTGCTGCCACTATGGAAAACAGTATGGAGGTTCCCCTCAAAAACTAAAAATAGAGCTGTCACATAATCCAGCAATTTCCCTTCTGGTTATTTACCTGAAGAAAATGAAAATGGTAATTTGATAAGATATATGCACACTAATGTTCATTGCAGCATTATTTACATTAACGAAGATATGGAAGCAACCTAACTGTCCAAGGATAGATGGATGGATAAAGAAGATGTGGTTTTATATATTTATGGTGTGTGTGTATATATATATATATTTGTATATATATATATATGATATATATTTGTAATATAGTATATATTTAACACATATTAATACTATAATAATAATAAATGATGTGTGTATATATATATATATATATACACACACATGGAATATTACTAAGTCATGAGAAAAAGCAATAAAATCTTGCAATTGGCAACAACACGAATAGATCTAGAGAGTGTTATGCTAAGTGAAATAAGTCAGACAGAGAAAGACCGTATGGTTTCACTTACATGTGGAATCTAAAAAACAAAACAAAAACAAACTCGTAGATTCAGAGAACAGGTGGTTGCCAGAAGGGAGGGGGTTGGGGGTGGGGTGAAATAGGTGAAGGAGATTAAGAGGTACGCACCTCCAGTTATAAAATAAAAAATCCACAGGGATGTAACATACAGCATAAGGAATATGGTCAATAACATTGTAATAACTCTGTATAGGGACCTATGGTTACCAGACTTATCATAGTGATCATTTCATAGTGTATGTAAACATCAGATCACTAAGCAGTACACCTGAAACTAACAAAACATTGTATGTCAACTATATTTCACTTAAAAAAAAAAAACAACAAAAACAGAACACAGATCCATTGGGGTGTCCTCATAGGGAGAGCAGAGAAGCTGCCAATAGTTGAAGAGAGGTGAATCCTGTTTTACGAGAGAACATTCCCAGGGACCATCCCTGATGCCTTGGCCGAGCCCCAGGCTGCCCAGCGTCCACTCACTGGACCTTGGAAGAGACTTTCAGGCGCCGCACACCCACGGTCGGGAACTGCCTGGAGTTGATGTAGGAGACCTTCTGGAGGGCACGGTTGATGTTCCCAATGTCGTCACCTTCCATCACCAGGACAGACTGCGAGGGGTTGAAATGATACTGGAAGACAGAAAGCAGTGTCACAGGAGAGAATGATCAACCATGTACCCAGTCTCACAGAGACTCTCCATCTCCATGCAAAGGCCACTAAGGCCCTCACAGGCGTCTCCAGAGCACGTGCAAGTGCAGGAGCTGTGTGCACAGGTAACTGTTTTAACCCGTCAAGCAATCCCTGCTGCCCTCTGGTGGGCTTCGGGACCCTCCTCTGTAAGATTCCCCGTGGATTGTAAACTCCTGGTGATACCACCGGGAGCCACAGGATGCATTCTGAAACCCAGACACAGTGCTCTTGGGGCCCAGCCTTTGGTGCGCTCATGCTCTGGGCTACTATGGGGTCCCTCCCAGAAACTTTCAGTTCTTGGACTGCCACGCCCTCAGCTCATAGCCCGGAAACCTGGGGCTTTTGTTCCTTTTGCTGTCTTGACTTTGGCCTTGAACTGCTCCCCCATTCACCCTGCGCTCCACCTCCTGACCCATGTCCCATCTTTTTAGTTTCCAACCTTCAAGTTCATTTTTAAGTTAATGGCCTTCCTTCTCTCTTAGATCCGATTCTTGGTCTTGCCTTCTAGGTGCTAAACTCTGGTTTCCCGTGAGTTTTAATCACCTGCTGTTTACACGCCTGCCAGCTGCCCTAGGTGTGTTATCTATCTGTCCTATCCTGGGTCCCTGGTATCCCACGCTGGGTGAAGGCCCAGGGGCTACGATGCTCCCCACTGAGTCACTTGGGTCCTCAAACCAGATAAAGTAGATCCAGACTTGTCTCTTCCGTGGTGTTCCCAGCAGTTTCTCTTCTTTGAATGGAGCATGGAGCATATATATTCAAATATATATATGTGCTAAGTGAAAGTGTCCATCTTATTCCTATCTCCTATCCAACCAATTTCCTCAACCTTATCCCACAGGTGATCACTGTTCCATTAATTTCTTAGTGACAAATTGCATTATTGTTCAAAATTAGTTGTTTCCCCTCCCAGTGAGATGCTTATTTATGCTACTCTTCCATACAGGATATACATTTTTGTCCTATTGCGCTCAACAGTGGTCTTGTGACTTGCTTGGCCAACAAAAAGTGGGCAGAGGTATTGTTTGGTTCACACCCGGGTGGTAGATTTCACAGCCAGTTAATTCGTGGTTCCATGCCCCTCTCCCTCTGCCATGAAATCTGCAAAGTTCCCTAATGGTCTATCAGCCCGGGTCTCACAGTGAGGGGGGCAGAGCTGCAGCCAGTCTTTAATGGGCATGAAGTGCACACCATAAAAAAAAAATTGCTGTATAATTCACTGAAATTTTAGTCACTCGTTACTGCAGCATAACCTAGCGTATCCTGACAGTTATACCTAAGCATTTTATGAATATATAATCAATGAATATAGATTCCCATTTTTCTCCTTTCTTACACCAAAGGTAGCTTGTTACATACTATACTGTACTTTGCTTTTTTCACTTAGCTTTTGTCTTGGAGAGCTTTTATTTTTTTTTAAGTTGTTTAATATTATTTAATATTAAATCATTTACTTACCCAGTCTCATAATGTGAACACTGGGTTATTTCCAGTCTTATACTAATAATGGCACAATGAATAATCTTATATATATAACATTTCCTAAGTGTGTAAATATATCTGTAGTATAAATCCCTACAAGGGAAATTGCTAGGTCAGAGAGTATATACAGTTTAAATTTTGACAAATGTTGCAAATTTTCCATTGCTAGGGATTATACCAATATGCTCTCCCTCTCATAGCGTATGAGAATGTTCTTCCAAAACCTCAGCAGAGCGTGCTGTCAAACTTGGGACTTTTGCCAATCTGATAGGTGATAAATACTATCTTAGTGTAGTTTTATTTTGCATTACTGTTTCCATGAAGTAGATTGAGTATGTTTTCAAGCTTTTAAGGGAAAATCTATCTATATTAGCTTTTCCCTGATATGACTCGGATGTCTTTACAAGAGTTCCTGTTCTGTGTCCAGACGCTACCAGGAGGTAGTTATCTCATGAGTACTGTGCTGCCATTGTCCCGCATAATAAGTCCCTTGCATGGTGACCCCCAGCCAACTGATAGCTCAGTCTTTGTCTCTTTCAACTATCATGTGATTGTTTCATTGTTACCTCCTCCTTGAAGCCTCCCCAGCTTCCCTCACTTAGGTCCCCACTGAACTCCTATAGTGCTATGAAATGGTAGTATAATTATTATAGTGCAGTGACTAGGAGCTCACTGAGGACAGGGGCTCTGACTGTTATCCCAGAATCTCAGAACCTTGTCCTAGTGCCCCAGAAGCCCCTGTTAGATGAATGAGTGAATGGTCCCCTGCTGCCCTCACTGTTCCTCTTTCCCTATGATCCAGTTTCCTCCTGTCCTCAAAGCCCTGAGCAGGGTCTCTCTGAGCTGCGACGTCTGGTCACAAGCACTGTTCCCTATGCTGGATTCAGGAGCCCCTGGGCATATGCACAGGTGACGCTACAGTCGGCCTCTTGTTGGTCTCTCTCTTGCTGGGGCTGACTCACTAGCTTAGCGTGCTCAGCCGTGGAGATGCCACATGCTGGTGAATCATCAATAGTTCTGAGTGTTTTACAGATCATCCATTTCTCATTTGAGCAGATTGAAAGTCATTCTTCTAAATATACCACTGAAGTTTCCATGTATTTTGCACTCTTCCCGTCCTGCCAACCCCTGCTGTAGCAGTCTTTTGGTGCTTTTGCTATCTGCCTGTTTGTGTGCCCCCCGCCAGCAGACTGTGAGCACCTCGAGGGCAAGGTCCACTGACTTTTTTCAGCATCTAGAGGGTCCAGTACACGACAAGCATGAGACAAGATGATGCCCCCTGCAGAAAAGGCCAATCTCTGAGCCGTGCATGAGGGCTGAACAGGAAAATCAAGCAATTCATCCAGGAGGATGGACTGGGCAGCAGCCCGTGGCATCAGCAGAGGGCACTCCCACTGAAGCCTCCTAGGGAGAGGACAGGTTAGAAAATGTGTTGGATCTCTAGTGAATACCCAAGTCTGGCTGCCAGAGCACCCCAAGGACTGCCACAGGGCTTGAGGTGGGCACTGGCTAGCCATCAACACGGTTCTTGCAGGATCAATAAAACCCTCCACTAGAATAGGTCTTGCTTGTATGTTTGTGTTGTCTTTCGTGGCATGCCTGAGGGTCGGTCTCTGGTTTTGCGAGACACAGGATGGTATTGGCATTTCCACAGGGGCAGGAGATGGCTTCCTGGGGACCTAGCAAAAGGTGACAGCACTCACTCTCCCTGGAAAGCTGGGCTGTAGCCACAGTGGTTCCTTTCTTTGAACCAAGAAGCGGTTAGACAGATGGTCTTAGCAGAATGGTCAGCGGTCCTGGAGGGTCAGGCTGGGACATCGGTGAAGTCCCTGCCGAAAGCCCTGGCCTGTTCTTTGAGGACAGGCTGGCTGTGGCCCTCCAGGCACCTCGCCTTCCCTGCCAGCTCCTCCGGGCTGGGACAGATGAAGATTCCCTGCAATAGAGGCTCTTCTGTTGCAACTGTCACCCAGGATTACTTTTCAAAAGAAGCTGGGGCATCAGCAATGCCAAGTGCAAGGTCAGCCCAGCAGGAGAAGGGAACTGTGCTTTGTTGAGAGCCTAGTTATCAGGTTTTCTAGGGGAGATCTGTATCTATATCTAGATGTATATCTATATCTATATATCTCATCTGTATGTGTCTCTTTGCTATATCTGATATATAAATATATGTAAGGATATATAAAAAAATATATGTTATTCAATTCTTACATCACTACAAAATAATACTAAGTCCATTTTGCACACAAGGAAATTGGGGCTTAAAGGATTAAAGTACCTTGCCCAAGGTCACCCAGGTCATGAATATCCATACTGTGCTTTGAACCTAGGAGGGTTTTGTCCCAAAGCTCTTGCTTTTTCCCACTCTTCCACACTAGAGATGACAATTTGGCAGGGATGACGCTATGAAAATCAGAAGCGTGTATTCTTCAGGGATGTGGCGATTCCACAGTGTCTCGTATGGATACATAACAACAACCACCTCGATCATGTGATGACTCCAGACATGCTGGAGAAATAGCTGGAAATATGCATGATCCAGGGGAAGACAAGTGAGACGAGGAACCCACGTGGGACCCTGTGAGTAGACGGGATGTTTTCTTAATCGTGGCAGGCCCTCACTTTTTGGACTAGCCAGAGGGGAGGGAGGAGGACAGGAGCCAGCAGAGAAAGTATTAGTCATTATTCAAAAAAGAAATGAGGGACGAAGGAGGAAAGGCAGGTTGGAAGCAGTTTAAAGAATTTTCAAGAATGCCTTCTCATCTAAGTCTTGTGGCGGAAAGAGCCTAGACTTAGTTTGGCCAAGTCCCTGAGCCCCAACCTCCTTATTTCTGAAATGGGGTCATAATATTTAATTTGTTGTGAGGAGTAGTAGGGATAATGAGCTTAAAATAGCCCCCAGTGGGTGCACCGTAACATCGTGTGTGTTTTCATTAACTGCTCATACAGTGAACTAGTTCTTGCCCGCCGCGCCCTAAGGATGGGAAAGGACCGTTTGCAGTGACTGGTTCTGAGCAGGTGGTATTGTAAAAAGTCAGATGAGCCCCCTCCACTCCCCACAGCTCTGGGTGCCCTTTCATTTAGCACTTCCTCTTTCACAGGCTAGGACCGCTATGTAGGGATTGCTATGGTTCTTAATTTATAGTCCTAAGAATGTGTGGCTTGTGAGTCCAGCATCTTTGGTTTATTTGTGCTGTGGTGCTTGGAATCCTGCAACTGTGGCCCCATGGGATGGTCTAGAGCAGAGAAGATCCACGCAGGGGCAGGGAGCAAATCCAGAATCAGAGAGGGGACGGATTCTGGATCTGTCGGGGGACAGATTTCACTGGCTTGACAAAACCCTGAGGGAACAATACAAATAGTAGACCAAGGATCAGACCCCAGGCTCTGCCTGTGAGGATATCTGTATGAAATGTGCCACGAGGGGCTTGCCTGGGCCAGCTGCCATGAAATTGACAGGTGGAATGCTGGCCTTTGCAGTACAGGCGGTCTTGTGAGTTTTCTTCAGACAGGTGGTTAGCTATCGAGAGCACCTGTGTGTATGTGTTTCATGCATTTTAAACAGTGTTCTGGAAGGTCATTCATGCTTTACCCTGCTTGTGTACTCCTCCCATCTTCCCCCTCTGACCAGGGCTCCAGGGTGAGCATTCTGAACCCCACGCCTGTCCAGATCATGCTGCCTCGCCTGGAGCCCTTCAATGGTTGCTTGTTGCCAACAGAAAAAAAAAGTAAACACCAGACATTAACAAGGCCCCGTGACCCGGCCTCTGCCTACCTCTCTGGTCCCGCTTTCTAGCTTGCCTCCTGCAGTTTGGGCACTTGTAACACTGGCTTTCTGCCTAGAGTGACCGCCCTGCCCTCTCCCTTGCCACCCACTGCCTGCCTCTCTCCTGGTTGGTTCTTACCCGTCCTAAACAATACGCTCAGGCTTCACCTCCTCCGAGGAGCCTTTACTCCCTGCTGTTGCTCCCGGTTCTGAAGCTCTGGAGCAGAACTGCCTGGGATCACGTTCTGGCTCTGCTCCTGACTCACTCTGGGATCCCTGGCAACTTTCCTTTCTCTTCCAGGCCTCCATTCCTCATGTGCAAATTGGGAAGATTCATGGTACATTTATCATAGGTGGTTCTGGGGCTTAAGTGAGTTAAACCCATAAAGGTTTTAGAACAGTGCCTGGTACCCAGGAGACCCTCAGTAAATGTCGGTGCTCATAATCATTGGAGCACTGGATTACAGGTGTCTGCTTGGGCCACTGAATGCCCCAAAGACAGTAATCTTGGAACATTCATTTTCGTGTCCCTCTCTGCAGCCCAGAGCCAAATTAGACGGGTGTCCGCGGAATGTTTGCTGAAGTGACTGCAACGTGAAGTCGAGGCGTGATTTGCCCAGATCACTGGTCCCTCCAAGGCCAGCCCAAGTCAGAGCCCCACAAGCAGTTGGCCACTGAGAGTGTAAATGAGAGGGCCCTCTGTTGGAGTGGTGACCCCTGTCCAGGAGACGCAGGCCTGGGGTGGGGAGGCCGGGCAGCTCCATGGGCAGTGCTGAGTGGGGACGGATGGGAGGTGGTGGGAAACCTCTGTTCTGGTCACTCCCTCCTTGGGAAACCTTCACAGCCGCCGGGGCCTCATGGGGCTGTCCTGTGTCCCTGGAGACAGAGGGTGGGCCGCCCTCACTCCCAGAGAGGAGGCCAAGGGGCTGCCTGCTGTCACTGGGGTCCGCTATGATGGAGCGGGGGCTGTGATAATGTCTACCCTGCTCTTTGCTCAGGACCCCGAGGCCTGATGCGGGCAGGCGCTCCTCGGTCCAGGTGAGGCCAGATCTATCCCCGCCCATCGTGGGCGGGGAAGTCCTTGACGAGGACAGTCAGCCATATCCTGCGCCCCTCAGGAGGAGCTTTTCTCAAAATGCAGCTTGGATTCCCTTGGATTGTTTGAAGAGTTTTATGTTGTGTGGATGACGAAATTGTGAATCTGTTCATATTCCCTTTGGCAGCCAGACATTGCCTGGAGCCCAGTCCGGGCCTCAACTTAACAACATAAGACCCAGTGACCTCTGCATCTGCTTTCTAATTCCACCCACCCCGGGGTGACCTTCCTTTGTAATTAGTAGTTTCCATGGTCCAAACTTTTAATCCTACTTTTCTGTATTTCTGAAAGTTGTGCTTGTATAACTGCTCCCTCAGTTCCTTTGGGCAAATAAACAACAAAGCAACCCCCCAACCCAGGAAACAATGAAATATAGCAACTCCCTCCGGGTAGACATTGAACGTGGGCCTGCTTTTATGCACTGAACTGACTGCACTCGAGGGCTTCATCTAGGAATTTCAGGAGACGGCACAGAGTCTGTTGTGCGGTCACGGTCACGGTCACCGATCTCCCTGCTGTGGCAGCACCTTTGCCATGGTACCAGCTCGGTGTGACGTGGCAGGAAATGACTCCGCGTCCAGGATTGCACTGGTGTTTAGCAGCCTCTGCCTCCCAAAGCACCGTCTCACCGGGAGCGATGCTGACTCCTTCCTTACCTTTATTCCTTGGCCCAGGCTTTCCAGGGAATTGATATCCAGCCCTTCCTTGCAGGCCTGCAGGCAGGAAACCACCTTCTGACTGTCCATTTTGCCAGGGCGGATGGTGAGACTGGCCAGGCTGCCGTGGAAGAATTGAGCAAAGCGCGGCTTGGTGACTTCTCCTCCTAAAAGATAAAGAAGCGTCGTTATTTGCCCTGCGGACATTGGGTAGGAAACGTCACTTCAAGGCGCCATCTGGCTGGGGAGCCAAGAACACAGTGGCTGCATCCCCTGAACCCGAGCTTTTCCTTCCAAGTGGTGAGCACAGAGTTGTGAAGCCCGAGTCTCGAGAGGATGTCATTGGCCGCCAAGACCTTGGCACTCCTCCAGGTGCACCTGTTTAGGAATCTGGAATGCCTGAATTTAAAACATTTACTTTCAGAGGCACGGGAGGTCTTAAAAGACAGGAAGGGCCTACAGAGTAAAAGTAGGAGAGGGAGAATCTGCCAGTGATGAAAGACGCGCCGTGTGCCAGGCTGTGTGCTGGGGACTTCACCTGAGCGAGCCTGCAAAGAAGGGATCATTGTTTCCAACTGACGGATGAAGAACCCTGGGACTCAGAAAGGTTGAGGGACTTGCCCCAGGACACACAGCTAAATGCTGGAGCTGGTACTCTAGTGGTGTATGTGACTGCAGAGCTGGCATTTGCTCTCCTGTATTCATTCCATAGAGAGGCTGGCATGCGATTGAGGGGTCCTAGGAGCCCCATGTCCCTGGGTTCTGGCTGTCTCACAGTGAGTTGATATCACATCAGCTCCGATCGAGGTTCTCTGGCATATAAGGGCTTCCTTGATTCTGTTCTACCTCGGACCTTCTTCTCGTCACCCAAGAGTTTTTTTTTTACTGTTCCCTCTACTGGTTGTGCTGAGTCCCGTCTGAGCCCAGGTCGGCTCTTCTGCATGTGAAATTGATCAACGCGGCTTGTGTGGCAAAGGCAGCCTGGAAGCCACCTCTTGTCATTTTTCTCCCTCGTTTCCTTAAAATAAAAGCCCCCCTAAGGTCCATTGGAAGCCTCACCTCCTCCACGAAGCCCTCCCCACTGACTTCACGGAGCACAGACCCCTTCCATCCCTGGGCAGCTTATGTCAACGATCTTAGTCTGGATCTTGCATTTCTGTTTGTTCAGAGAGGTGGCTGAACGTACAGGAAAGATGGATCTGGGTGGAAATCCAGCTTTGCTAATTCCCTGAGGAGGTTCTGCTGCCTCTCTGAGCCTCCACTTGCTTGTAGGGGACGTTGCTGGGTTTTGCCTCCTGATTCTCCTGCGCTGTCTCAGCCGTGGCCCCCATCCGTGTGCTCCATGAGAAACCTCCCTGTGGACAGCTTTCCCCAGCATCTGGAGGGCAGGTTCCTGGAAGGTTCTGCCGGAGTACCACCACAGCGATTTCTCTGCCCTTCAGTGAGCCACGCTGTGTCAGCCAAGTCTGGATCTCTGCCTGGGTGGCAGAGGGCTCTCCACAGGGTGCTCTTTTTTAGCCCCAGGGAGGGTGGGTGTCCTGATATCTGCATTCCTATAGCCTTCAGAGTTGTCTCTACTTAGCAGCTAATCCTTCCTTATTCTAATACGCTGTTATAGTTAATAATTTTTTATATTTCCTTGTTGAAATTACTGTGTGGTTTCTCTCTCCTGGCTGGGTCCAGACTGATACACCCTCTAGGTTTGCACACATACATTTGCTCACACCCGTTCCTCTCACACTGAGAGGATCAGGCAGATCCCACTGGTTCTTCAAGGCCCCTTAGGCCCCCTGTCTACCTTGCCCTCTCCCTGCTCTGAGCCTGGAACACAATAGTTCATTTTAATGCACCCTCACAGCTCAGCATTGTTCGTTAATGTATTTGTGCTTTATGTCTTCAATAGCCTGTAAGGGGTGGTTCTTGACTTCGGCTACACATTGTAATCACCTGGGGATATTTATTTATTTATTATTTTTATTTTTTGCGGTACACGGGCCTCTCACTGTTGTGGCCTCTCCCGTTGCGGAGCACAGGCTCCAGACGCTCAGGCCCAGCGGCCATGGCTCACGGGCCCAGCTGCTCCGCGGCATGTGGGATCTTCCCGGACCGGGACACGAACCCGTGTCCCCTGCATCGGCAGGCGGACTCTCAACCACTGTGCCACCAGGGAAGCCCCCACCTGGGGATATTTAAAAAGATAAACTGACCCTGGTGAGGGGTCCCACCCCCAGAGATTGTGACCTAACTGGTGTGGGGAGTTTTTTTAAAAATTGAAGTATAGTTGATTTACAACATTGTGTTAGTTTCAGTTATATGGCACAGGTTCTTTTCCCCTATAAGTTATTACAAAATATTGACTATAGTGTAGTTCCCTGTGCTATATAGTAGGTCCTTGTCGGTTATCTATTTTCTATATAGTAGTGTGCATGTGTGAATCCCAACCTTCTATTTATCCCTTAGCCCTGTTCTTTCCCCTTTGGTAACCATAAGTTTGTTTTCTATGTCTGTGAATCTCTTTCTGTTTTGTAAATAAGTTCATTTGTATCTATTTTTTTTTTAGATTCCATACATAAGTGATTTTATAATATGATATTTATCTTTGTCTGACTTACTTCACTTAGTATGATCATCTCTAGGTCCACTCATGTTCCTGCAAATGGCATTGTTTCATTCTTTTTGATGGCTGAGTAATATTCCACTCTGTATATATACCACATCTTCTCTATCCATTCCTCTATCTCTTTCAGGTGAATCAAACATGAAGTCAAGATTAAGAACCAGTGGGCTATATACTTCCTGAGGCCAGGCTTCTACATACTCCTTGAGTCAGCTCTCTCCTTTATGCCACCCACAGGCTTACTCTTGCCCCTCTCCATATGCTGCTGGAATTTATTGTTTTAAGTCTGTCTCCTGGATGGCAGGGAATACTCGTGCAGGATTCATTGTAAAGAAGACAATACTAAACAGGTATTGGGGCTGAGGGCTGCCCCAGGCACTTTGCACAAGTTGGCTCATTTATCCCTCTCAATAACATGAGCCCCTGTCCCTGTGTCATCAAACATCTTGCACCCTGCCTGGCACACAGGAGACGCTTCATAATTGTTTGCTGAATTGAAGAAGATGGTCCAGCAGAGTTGTAGACCTGTGGTGCCTCTCCAGCATCCATCTCACTCCTGTCCTCTTGCAATGGCAGCCCTGAGGTTTGGGGGGTTGACTTGAGTTCCAGGGATGGACTCTGTTTAGTCAAAGGTTATTCCATCTCCATTGCTCCAGGGACAGAATGAGGCCTATACTTGGGACCCCTCATACCAAGATGAAGCCAATCAGCATCTGGCATCCAAAAAAGCCATAGGAGTTGGTCTAGGGTTAATCATAAGACCGAATTTAAGCCAGTGAGCTGAGCGGGGAAATTGACTGGCAGCCTCTGGGAAAAGAGCTTCCATCTTCTCTCTAGAAAGTTTCTGGAACCTGCTCTTGCTCTCTTTCCCTGGAGATCATTATGTGAAGATAGAAGGCTGAGAGCGGCTGCAGCCATCCTGCAAGCAGACCAGGGACAACCAAGGCAATTCCTGGAGGGGGCGGAGCCAGGAGAGCAGAGAAGGCTGAGCGAACCCTGAGCAGACCTCCTCACTGCTTTACCACGGAGTGTGCTCAGCTGGGGCAGCCAATCGTCCATCTTTACAGCTTAAGCTGCTTTAACTCAGACCGTTGTTACTTGACACCCAGAGCATCTTCACATTGGAAATGAAAGGAGAAACCTCTGTTGAAGTGATCAGTCCACACATTTGGCTTTGAGGGATGACCTGAGGTGACCATGGCTTTGGGTATGGGAGAGCCAATGTGGGGTCTTTGGATTTCGGCCCTCGAAGCCCTCATAGATACGGCACTCCTCACAGCCATTAGCATGTTCCTGCCCTAGTAAAGCGACACTTCTGTTGATCTACAGGAAGAAGGGTGTGAGCCTGGGTCTGAATGGTAGAGCTGCCACTGTCCAAGGCATCCAGGTGGTCATCCCTTCCCCGCCTAGTCCCCCACCTGGAGCAGCAGATCCAACAACAACTCTCAATGAGTGGCATGAACTATGTGCCCAATGCTGTTGAATCTTCATCAAACTCTTGGGAGGTAGGTACTTATTCTTTTTTATTTATTTTTTTACATCTTTACTGAAGTATAATTGCTTTACAATGTTGTGTTAGTTTCTGCTGTATAACAAAGTGAATCAGCTATAGGTATATATATATATATATCCCCATATCCTCTCCCTCTTGCACCTCCCTCCCACCCTCCCTATCCCACCCCTCTAGGTGGTCACAAAGCACCGAGCTGATCTCCCTGTGCTATGCGGCTGCTTCCCACTAGCTATCTCTTTTAATTTGGTAGTGTATATATGTCCATGTCACTCTCTCACTTTGTTGCAGCTTACCCTTCCCCCTCCCCGTATCCTCAAGCCCATTCTCTACTAGGTTTGTATCTTTATTCCTGTCCTGTCCCTAGGTTCTTCATGACCATTTTTTTGGTTTGTTTTTTAGATTCCATATATATGTGTTAGCATACGGTATTTGTTTTTCTCTTTCTGACTTACTTCACTCTGTATGACAGACTCTAGGTCCATCCACCTCACTGCAAATAACTCAGTTTCATTCCTTTTTATGGCTGAGTAATATCCCATTGTATATATGAGCCACATCTTCTTTATCCATTCATCTGGTGATGGACACTTAGGTTGCTTCCATTTCCTGGCTATTGTAAATATAGCTGCAATGAACATATTGGTACACGACTCTTTTTGAATTATGGTTTTCTCAGGGTATATGCCCAGTAGTGGGATTGCTGGGTCATATGGTAGTTCTATTTGTAGTTTTTTAAGGAACCTCCATACCGTTCTCCATAGTGGCTGTATCAATTTACATTCCCACCAACAATGCAAGAGTGTTCCCTTTTCTCCACACCCTCTCCAGCATTTATTGTTTGTAGACTTTTTGGTGATGGCCATTCTGACTGGTGTGAGATGATATCTCATTGTAGTTTTGATTTGCATTTCTTGAATAATTAGTGATGTTGAGCATTCTTTCATGTGTTTGTTGGCAATCTGTATATCTTCTATGGAGAAATGTCTATGTAGGTCTTCTGCCCATTTTTGGATTGCGTTGTTTGTTTTTTTGTTATT